GGGGGGGGGGGGGGGGAGTAGCACCCAACTTAAAATTCCCCTCGTGCCATGGGGGACTGTATGTCAGAGCAAAGATTCAGTTTGGCTGGGATTTAAGCGACAAAGGAAGATGAATAAAACTTTCATAATGAAATTGGGTTGGATTATTCTCACAAAACTGGATACCTTATGGGTGCGGTTGTTATTGGCCAAGTACAAGCTTGATACCACTTTCATGATGGCTGACTTTATTTTTCTTAAGGGATCCACGCTACTACGGGCTATTGGTAGAGTGTGGCCGACGCTAATGAGGGGGGGAGGGGTCCGATGGTCTATTGGTAATGGACGACGTGCCAGATTTTGGCAAGATAACTAGCTTCATCAATCGACGCCATTACATGAACTCGCGACAGGCCCGATTCCAGCGGATCAATGGGGACTGCCGTTGGCTAGCTTTGCGACTGACGCGGGTGGGTGGAATTGGAATACCTTTGCAAGCTTGTTACCCGCTAATGTGTTGCTGCGTATTGCATCGGTGTTGCCTCCGAAACAGGTTTTTGACGACGACTCGATTTATTGGGCTTTCTCGAAAAATGGTCGATTCACCACGAAGTCAGCTTATGTGTCTTTATTTCCACTCGAGCCGCCGTCTGGCCGTGCGTTATGGAAATCCATTTGGCAATGGGTGGGCCCCCAACGGGTTCGACAGTTTCTTTGGCTCGCGACACAAGATAGATTATTGACCAACAAGGAGCGACATCGCAGACATTTAACGAGCTTGCCGACTTGCGAGATGTGTGGTCGGATAGAGGAATCCACGTTGCACGCCCTTCGGGATTGTATATGAGCAGCACAGGTCTGGCATTCTATTGTCCCAACTCCATTTCATCCTGATTTTTTTCGGTTGGACCTTACGGAATGGTTGTCGATCAATTTAAGTAATAAGTTGCATGTTCAAATTGAGGGATGGGAGACCTTATTTGGTGTCACCGCATGGAAAATTTGGCATGGCCGGAATGAGACTTTATTTGCCGGAATGAGCA